ACTCCCGGTGGCTGGACAGGCAAAGGCGGCGCAGGAACTCCCGGTGCTGGGACCGGCTGCTGTTGCGCGGCTTGAGTAGCGAGAAAGTTAGCCATCCGGACATCCAACATCCCCGGCAGGGCTTCCATCACGTCATGGACCGTCCTCATCAGGTCTCTCACCGAGCATTCCAGTTCATCCAACCGTTCCCCGGTAGTCTCTTCCGGTATCGGCTCTCGAGGTTGGTAGTCGGGTGGCGGGTCATAGTCTTCAGACCCCTGGAGGCCAGCACCGGCTCCCTCACCCAACGGTTCGTACATCCAGTCTTCGAGGTCTCGTCTGGAACTCCCCGTCTCGCCCGAACTTCCCGGCTCCGGGAACAAACCTTTGTCAAATAGGCTCTCTCGAAGTCCGCTACCTCGACGGGAGTACACTTCCCGGGTGCCTTGTGTGTTATACAAAGCCCAATCATCCTGCGCCTGGGTCTTCCGCGGGCCCCAATGCGAAGGGGTTGGAGGCGGCCAAGACAGGTGCGCAGGTAAGCGGGGAAACGTTCCCCCCACGGCACCCTCCAGCGAGGCTGCAGTCGTAGACACCAAAGGAGCGGAGGTAGGTGGGACCGATCCCGAGTCCCCCTCCGTTTTAAGTAGATCTCCCTCAGTCCCGCTCATGATCTTGCCAGATTCGGAACGATAGGAGAAAGGGAGTTCTAACAATATGTTGGATCCCCAAGCATCGAGAATAAATCCACGTTTTCAAGAAAAGCAAAATTTATTTCAAAGCGTTGGAAAGACACTCAAACACGTTCTTTGTTAGAACTGGGGATACACAGGTAGGGCAAGCATAATAAAGGAAATTCAAACAGACACAGATCCAATGAATAACATTCCCGCTGGCGGGCTAAAGAAACGGTTGCGCGCCCAGTCCATGAGAACCAGGCAGAACATCAGACAAAACACAGGTGCAGTTCCCAAGCGATAATCAGCGGCAAGCATTACAGCATCCTCTCCTCCACAAACCCTCCAGTAGATTATCTTAGGCATTCCAGCATAGAAGCAGAATAACAAGCCGGGTGCAACAGGGGAAGGATATGTACACAGAGGTCATAGAAACACAATGGCAGCATGCTGACAGTGACCGACTGACCTGAACTGCTGGTCCCGTTTTTCAGCCACAATCTTCCGCCTCTCTTCTTCCCGATTCTCTCTCAGCGATTTTGCTTTCTCTAACATTTTCCTTTTCCTGTCCTCAGTGGTTTCTTCCAGTGACTCCATTTCAGCGATGTAACCCTTTTCCTCCACTTCCAGGAGATCCCGGAGCCTGGAAAATGTTCGTTAAAAACCTGGTCACGTCGTACGCTTTTTTGGCACCAAAACAGCGCTGCTTTTACACTTCTCCAGATTTCTGAACAAAAAGCTCGGCTATCGTTAAAAATGTCTGTGTGATGGTCGTGGGCTGAGAGGCCAATGGATGTTAGGCAAGGGTCATTTCGTAGAAAAAGAGGTGCAGGAGCTCATTAGCATAACTTATTTGCATACGCCACACCCCCTGACATCACTGGAGGTGTGTTAGAAGGCAACACCCACTGCTCAGGCTCCATTGGACTGTTTTGGATTGCTACCTATTGGGAGGGGGGGGAGCACGCAGATCTGTCCTCGCAGAGGAGGGAGAACTTGTACCTGAATAAAACTTGGTCTTAAAGGTGCCACTGGACTGTTTTGGGCCGGGGGGCTGGGGGGGCCCTCTGCAACTTACCTGGCTGCTTCTTGCTCTGACTGAGGGCTGCTGGGAGCAGGGGGTGGGCCTTGTTGCATGTGCCCGCCCCCTGGGCTCTTTACTGCCGGAGCTCAGCTCCTGTGTGCTCCTGCAGGAAATGACCCGATGTTTGGTGCCAGCCTGGGTCCAAATCCGGGCTCCCTCTGCACCTGGGGGAAGAATCGCTTCACGGCTCCTTTCAGACTGAATGCAAAACCAAGATAGATCCAGTTGGTCAGCCGTGTTGGCCTGAAGCAGTACAACAAATTTAGAGTCCAGTGGCACCTTTAAGACCAACTGTCTGGTCCAGAAGACCCTGGGGGGCTTGTTTATGTAGATGAATGCCGTCACTCAGCAAAACAAATTCTGGGCACAAGGTTTAAAAAGACGACTGCCGGATTTAATTGAATAAAATCAGTTGAAGTTGAAGGGATGCATGCAAAGCAGGAAACATCCCATCATAACAAGCAACGGCAAAACAAACAGTAAAAAGCCAGGTGACAGGACCAATGAAAACAATACCTCACTTCTGCGAGGCCAGTTCTTAAGAAAAGTCTGTTATCAGGTTGGAGAGAATCGGGATCACTTCACCACAGAGCGTAGCTGGCCCCGCCCTGCGAAGCCTAATGAGAGAGCCAATAACCCCAGTGGCCCAGTCTTCTTACCTCCCTTCACCTCCCTTTTTTGAACTTGATGCTAACAATAGACCAGAACTGTTTCAAGCCAACAAGGAATTGCTTAATGTTAGAGGTGTTGGGAGACAGTGCAAATCAAACTCCGCACTACAAGTGGAGAAGTGATAGATGCAGAGGTCATTTCGGGGGGGGAACGCGGGGGAACGCAGTCCCCCCGGGTGAGGTGCAGGGGGCGGGGCATATTACGAAGCCCCGCCCCCTGCTTCCGGCCGCCCCACTTCCAGCCCTCATTCAGCCAGGAGGAGGCAGGAGAAGAGGGAGAGTAAGTTGCTTCCTCCCCGCCTCTCCTCACCCCTGCCTGCCTGGGGCCAGGGAGGGCCTTGGCGGGGCTTCCTCGCACTCCCGCTGGCCTTGCAGGTCCACCGCCGGGCCCCTGATGTCAAGGGGTGTGGCATATGCTAATGAGTTATGCTAATGAGTTCCCCTAGCTCTTTTTCTACGAAATGACCCCTGGATAGATGCTACTTTACAAAATGTGGCTCTAGTCCCTGGAGCAGCTGATAATTTGATTTCAGCCAAAAGGCTTATGGACAGTGATCATACTGTGTTACTTAAGAAAGGGGAAAACAGTAAAATCATTGCTAGGATACGAGTTGATAAGGATCCAACTCTCTAATTAACCCTTCTGGCTTGTAAAAAGATTAGGGAGGTTTACGATTCTCCCCCATAACAAAATATCGCAGCTGAATATAATGACGCTGCAAGCAGATTGCTTCCGGCAACATGCAAGGCTAGGTCCTACTAAACTTATAAACCTAAACAACCTCTGTTCCTTACACCAACAAAGGTTTATTCAAGGTCTCAGCTTTCCTGTGCAGGCTACGTGCAACATGATGGTGATCAAGATAGGCAAAGTGGCACTAAATAACAAGTTAAGGTGACGGGGTCAACAGCTGTAAAGCAACAAATATGTCAGACTAGCAGAGAAATGTCTAAAGGTGTATTTTCTCATTGTGGGAAGTGACTGGGGGCCGTGACTGTGGGAAGCGAAACCAAGAGTTGTTGTAACCATGGATTGTCTGGGGTGATGGAGGGGAACAACCATCGATCTGGCTCGCGTGACTGAGGCCTGGCCGGAAGAAAAAGGTGGAGCTTTTCTGTCTCAGTTCACCTGGGGAGGCAGCCCGCCATCATAACTGGAGTGGAAGCTGGGAAAGGGGGGGAAAGGATTGGTTATCATTCTCCGTGCATCTTTCTGGTTTTTTGGAGCGCCTGTGTGGTGGGATGGGTAGAGCAGGAGTGTCAAACATACGGCCCAGGGGCCGAATCAGGCCTCCGCAGGGCTTTCATCAGGCCCACAGTGGAACTGGCCACCTCCTCCTTCCAGTTCTGCTGCTGCTGCTGCATCATCGCTTGCTTCACCAGACTCTCTTAATCACTCAGCCATTTCATGTTTTAACCTGGGTCCTAGACACAGAACTCTGAGCATGAGATTTCTGTGGTGAATGTCAATAAATCAAAAGTAGGTTTGCAGCTTACAGAGCTAATGTTTTAAGCATGTTTTTATTTTAAATAAAAAAATCCTTGTGTTTGTGTCCTTTATAAAGTTTATATCTCCGCTACCTGGCATCACATTTTATGACACACATGCCCTGGCTCGACAAGGTCTCATTTACGTAAAACCCGGCCCTCATAACATTAGTTAGAGGGTTAGAGGGTCGGACTTGGTTTCAGGAGACCCAGGTTCGAATCGCCGCTCGCGTGGAATCTGGCTACCTGACCATGGGCTAGTCCCGCGTGCTCAGCCTAATCTACCTCAGAGGGTTGCTTCAGATCGACACGGCTACCACCTGAATCTATCAGAGGGTCGTTGTGAGGATAAAATGGAGGAGAGGAGAACAATGTAAGCAGCTTTGGGTTGCCAGTGGGGAGAGAGGAAGAAGAAGATTTATACCCCGCCCTTCGCTTGGAGTTTCAGAGCAGCTTACAGTCTCCTTTCCCTTCCGCTCCCCACAACAGACACCCTGTGAGGTAGCTGGGGCTGAGAGAGCTCTGACAGAAACTGCTTGTGAGAGAACAGCTCTGAGAGAACTTGTGACTGACCCAAGGTCACACCAGCGGCTGTGGAGGCGCGGGGAATCAAACCTGGTTCTCCCAGATCAGAGTCCGTGCTCCTAACCACTACACCAAACTGGCTCTCCTTCCCTTCCTCTCCCCACAGCAGACATCCTGTGAGGTAGGTGGGGCTGAGAGAACTCTGACAGAAACTGCTTGTGAGAGAACAGCTCTGAGAGAACTTGTGACTGACCCAAGGTCACACCAGTGGCTGTGGAGGCGTGGGGAATCAAACCTGGTTCTCCCAGATCAGAGTCCGTGCTCCTAACCACTACACCAAACTGGCTCTCCTTTCCCTTCCTCTCCCCACAATAGATACCCTGTGAGGCAGGTGGGGCTGAGATAGCTCTGACAGAAACTGCTTGTGAGAGAACAGCTCTGAGAGAACTTGTGACTGACCCAAGGTCACACCAGCGGCTGTGCAGGCGTGGGGAATCAACCCTGGTTCTCCCAGATCAGAGTCCATGCTCCTAACCACTACACCAAACTGGCTCTCCTTCCCTTCCTCTCCCCACAGCAGACATCCTGTGAGGTAGGTGGGGCTGAGAGAACTCTTTCGAGGACCGCCCTTGAGAGGTTTCCAGCTCTGGGTTGGGAAATCTGTCGATTTTGCAGGGGTGGAGCCTGGGGAGGGGAGGGACCTCAGCAGGGTATAATGCCGTAGAGTCCACTCTCCAAAACAGCCATTTTTTCCAATGTACAATGTACAATGACAAAAAGATTATTATTATTATTATTATTATTATTATTATTATTATTATTATTATTATTATTATGTTTCCAAGTGTCACCTGGAGGTTGGCAACCCTATTAATAGGCCAACTGGAAACCACGGTTTTAGATGCCAGCTTGGAACACACTAACGAACCACATTCAGAGGACCCTCTTGCGTTCAGTCATAGAATCACAGAATGTTAAAGTGCGAAGGGACCTTGCGGGTCATCTAGTCCAACCCCCTGCACTCTGCAGGAGCGGAGCCACAGTCGATCCCACTAGCCGTAGTCGATCTCACTAATCACGGTGCGTTTCATTAAGCAACGTTCCCTCTGAGTCTCTGATATGAAGCTGAATTCAGAAAGGGCAGAAAGGCAGGATGCAAAATATTTTAAAGAAATAAATTGGTAAAGTTAGGCTTAATTCGTTGAAGGGCAGCGACAAGCAACCTCTGCAATTTCTGGGGGTTCCATTCTTCAGGCCTTGATTTGGGGTCCAGAAATGCAAATCCCTCCTCCAAACTCACCTTTTTTGGCCAGCCTTTGGAACAGTCCCTTGGTCCCTATCCCCACCAGAATCAAAGCCCAAATATTTTTTAGAGACTCATATGCATCCCTTGTTATCCATGATTCCCCCCCACACACCTTGTTTTCCCAGTCCATCAAAATGTAGATTGTAAACTTCTTGGGACAGGGACCTTTCTTTCTTTTTGGTGACATCTCTCAGTAAATGCCACGTACACCGACAGCCCTAGGTCGATCAGTAAACACTATGTACAGTGATAGAACTAGTGCTGCCTGGAGACCAAGCCCAATGAGGAAAGGCTGAGGGACTTGGGAATGTTCAGTCTGGAGAAGGGGAGGTTGAGAGGGGACAGGATTGCTCTCTTGAAGTATTTGAAGGGCTGCCACTTAGAGGAGGAGGGCAGGGAGCTGTTCCTGCTGGCAGCAGAGGAGAGGACTCACAAGAATGGGTTTAAATTCAGGGCGGGAAGGTACCGGCTGGATCTTAGGGAAAACTTTTCTACAGTAAGCACAGAGCAGTGGAATGGGTTGCCCGGGGAGGTGGTGAGCTCCCCCTCACCGGCAGTCTTCAAGCAGCGGCTGGACAAACCCTTGTCAGGGATGCTCTAGGCTGATCCTGCATTAAGCAGGGGGTTGGACTGGGCGGCCTGTATGGCCCCTTCCAACTCTACGATTGATTATATGATTCACCCCACTAATTGCTATCCTTATACTAATACCCAAGTGGCCCCGTCTGTGCGGATATCTAAATCCGCGCTCCGGGGCCACCTGGGGGGCAAGGAGATTTTTGGGCACACGTGGGGCGGTCCCCACGTGTGCACAAAAATCCGACCTGGAAAAAAAAATCTCGGGGGGATGTTTAAATCCCCCCGAAACTGGAAGAGCATCCCCTGCGCATGCGCAGGGGACGCTCTGGACCGCCGCCGCCTCACAGCCGCTAGGGAGGGAGCCCGCCTCACTCCAGAGGCGCACCGGCAAGAGTCCGCGCGCGGGGGGGAGCCGCTCTCCACAGCGAGCCCGCAGGCCGCGGGGCTTCCTGGTAGACTTCCCCCCCAGGGACACACCCCCCTGCTCTCCCCTCCGGTGGACACCCGCCGCGCCCGCCCCACCGCCCCGCGGGGGCCAAAGGGAGAGGGAGGGAGGGGGAGGGAGAGGGGGAGGGGCCTCTCTCACCGCAGCCGCGCAGCATCCTGCAAAATGGAGCCTCGCCCGCAGAGCCTGGACACTGCCCCCTATATGGGGTGGTGGTGGCCTGGACCGCCCCCAGCAAGGAAGAGGGAGGAGGAGCCCGCCCACCCACCAGCCAGCGCCGAGAAGGGAGCCCAGGGCCGGGGGCGCCTCAGTTGGCCGGGGGGAGGGGGGACCCGGACTGTCACGGACTGAGCACGCTAGGGGGGCCTGCATCGGGGAGGGGGGCAGCGAGGGGGCTGCCGCCGGCTGGTAGTTCAAGCGAGGGCGGTAGAGGCGTTGCCCTGCTGCCTCAGCCCTGCCGCACGATTCCTGACACCACCACGATCGCTCTGCCTCCCCCCCCCGCGAGTATCGCGGGTCCACCTCTTGTTTTATTCATAAAAACCATCCATCAACATCCACTCGCTCAGCCGCTCCGGGGCTACCTCTCTCTCCTTTCCTCCGTCTCCGCCAGGAAGCCGTGCATTTCGGCATTCACCTTCTTCTGCACCAGGCGGTGGAGCCGTTTGCGTTCGTTCAGTTCATCCCTCTCGTTGATCTGGAGGCCCAGGAGGTGGGCCTTGGCGTACTTCGAGGCTTCGAGGCGTTGTTTATCTTGTGCCCTCCAGATTCGGATCTCACGGCCTGGGCCTGGGGGATTTGCTTGTGGCGGTTTGGCGCTCTGCAAAAGAAAGCATGCCTTTGAGGCACGGGAGGAGCATACGGCTGCCAGCCTCTGGGTGGTACCCATCGAACAAGCAGACACTGTGATGTGAATGACTAGGACATTTAGTACAGGGGTGTCAAACATGCGGCCCGGGGGCCAGATCAGGCCCCCGGAGGGCTTCTATCAGGCCCGCAGTGGAACTGGCTGTCTTCTGCTTCTTCTTCCAGTTCTGCTGCTGCTGCTGCATCATAGGTTTGCAGCTTACAGATTCACACCTGAACAGCATACTCAAGACTGCAGCAGCACAGACATTCTGATGCAGTAATTCAGAGCAAGAGGTTGTCAGTTATCAGACACTGTAAAATAAACAAAATATTGCAAGAGTGCTAATGTTTTAAGCAGGTTTTTATTCTAAGTAAAAAAAAACCTTTGTGTTTGTGTCCTTTATAAAGTTTATATCTCTGCTACTTGGCATTACATCTTATGACCAACGTGGCCCGGCCCAACAAGGTCTCGTTTATGTCGGATCCGGCCCTCAGAACAAATGCGTCCGACACCCCTGATTTAGTAAATCTTTTCAAGGTCAACATCATGTATCGTTTTACAAATAAAACTTTACGACATTACAAAGAAAAGTCCATCATTCTCAAGGAAAAGTCCATATTCTCCATCATTGTCAATGAGCACCTGGATATAAGCTCCTTTCGTCCCCATCTTTCTCAGGAGTGATCCTCGTTATATTAAAAGGTGTCAGCCTCTTGATTCAGCACATTGTTTTATTAGGAACAAACTAGTGCTTAACTTCTTCTTTACTTTCTTCAAATGGCTGGCAAATGCTCTCTACCTCGTGCTGAAACTCAGACTCTGTATTATTTATAGTAGGACAGAATCATAAGCCAAAGGGTAGAAGTACTTAATATTGACCTTAGAATATTCTCTGATACCCATTTCACATGGCTGAGAAGGGGCCCCCATAACAGGTCACGGTCCGGGGCCCCAAAAATGTAGCTCCGCCACTGCCTGGGAAACGTTAGGCAACAGTTCTGTCCAAGCAGCCAGCAAAGGGGATGGGCCAGGGGCTGTCCAGCCTCTCCAGGTCAGGGCAGAGGGGCTGCCTGGATGAACAGGAGCAGGGGGGGGGACAGGGAACCCCCAGGGAGATGGGTGCTTCGGGGATGGTGGGAACCCTGGATAAAACGCCTGGCGTGCGAAGGAGTCGATCGGCGTGAATGATTCCTTTCTGGGCCTCCCTACGACCACCGTGGGTGAGAATTTAATTCCTATTTATACCTATTTAGTAAATGCCGATCCTGCCTCTCTGCCACCACGAGGGTCACCAAGGCAGTGGAAAAAATTAAAACACAGGTAAGAAAATTGCAGTTTAAAACTCTCCCCCTCCCACCAGCCCCGCACACTATATGATCATTCTTCTCTTCCGGGAATAAAAAACTGTTGGAGTTTCAAGTTGCTTACACTTCAGTCATTACAGAGTTAAGTGTTGTTTGTTAGGAAACAGGATGTTACGTTACATAATGTATTCTACAGCGGGAAAGTTTGTGGGAGTTGTTTAGTCTAATGAAGTGACCTGTAACCTTTGTATTGGTCAACTAACAACTTGTTTAACTAACAACTTGTTTGTGGAAATGCTTTGATCTAGCATTCATGTATTCACAAGGTTTATGGCTCTTTGTGTGAACCAGACAGGAAGCTCCCCTCTAGAAGCCAACACAGTTAGAAAGATGTAGCTGTTAACATTTAGTACTGAAAGTAACTGCAAGTATGTAACCTTTTCATTTTTTCCTTTTATCCAAAGTACCTTACCCATGTTTTATTTTGTTTTGTAGTAAAGATATTTTTCTTTTCCTAATGTGGCTCTTGTGTTTGCAAAACGACCATCGATCTTGAGTCTCAGAATCCCAACAAACTCCCCCCCCCCAAGACCTACCTTTTCTATTTATTGTAGGAGCAAACCAGTCCTCTTTTCTACCCGGCTAGAAGCCTTCTTTTGACATTGGCTGGCAAACGCTCTCTCAACCTCCAGGTGGAATTTAGAAGTCTCCTGAGATTAAAACTGATCTCCAGATTACAGAGATCAGTCCACCTGGAGAAAAGGGTTGCTTTGGAAGGCAGACTCTGTAGCCTTGTACCCCACTGAGGTCCCTCCTTCCCCAAACCCCACCCCTCAGGCTCCACCCCCCAAAATCTCCAGGTATTTCTCGACCCGGAGCGAGCAACTTTAGAAGAGCATGAAAGTGCTATTTTGTGAAGTGTCACTTTGTAGACAAGTATGTTCAGGACACTGGGAAAAGCAGAACACGGGAAGGTAAACCTTTCCATCGATAGACCTTTTATCAGATATTATTATAAGTATTTGGGGAATCTTATCTGCAAGTCCATGAGTATGCTGTGACTCTGCAGAACAACAGAACAGATTGCAGAATGGATGCAGAGTTTAGCCGGTTCAAAATTCATAAGAACGTAAGAAAAGCCAATGTCGGATCAGGCCTTTAGCCCATCTGTCACACAGTGGCCAAAAAAACCAGGTGCCATCAGGAGGTCCAGCAGTGGGGCAAGGACACTAGAAGCCCTCCCACTGTTGCCCCCCCCCAGCACCAAGAACAGAGAATCACTTCCCCCAGACAGAGAATTCCTATCTACACCCTGTGGCTAACGTCCACTAATGGACCTCTGCTCCATACGTTTATCCAATCCCCTCTTGAAGCCGTCCATGCTTGTAGCTGCCACCACCTCCTGTGGCAGTGAATTCCATGTGTTAATCACTCTTTGGGTGAAGAAGTACTTCCTTTTATCTGTTCCAGTTTCATTTTGCTTAAAAGAACCCTTACAAGCTGAAGTCCTCAGCCCATGCTTGACTATTAAAGAGTCAGTGGGTAAATGGAAGGGCCCTGCCTTGATCTCAGATGAGGGGCCATGGCTCTGTGGCAGAGCCTTTGCTTGGCATGCAGAAGGTCCCAGGTTCAATCCCCGGCATCTCCAGTTAAAAGGACCAGGCAGTAAGAGATGTGAAGGACCTCTGCCTGGGACCCTGGAGAGCCATTGCCAGTCTGAGTGGACAATACTGACTGATGGACAAAGGGTCTGTTTCAGTGTAAAGCAGCTTCATGTGTGTCCATGTGTGTGATATCCATGAGAAAAAAGCAGGATAAAAATGTAACTCAGAAACATGCCGAGTTGTCAGACTACGGCGTTTCAGAGCCCAGACTGGCACCCTTTCCCTCACCTGGAAACAATGAAGGTTGTGCAAAAAGAGATTATGCAAATGGGTTTATCCTGCATAATTCAAGGAGGCTGCAGAATTCATGTTTATAAGTGCAGGGATTGATCTATCCCAACACCAGGGGTCATTTCCTGCAGGAGCGCACAGGAGCGGAGCTCCGGCAGTAAAGAGCCCAGGGGGCGGGCACATGCAACAAGCCCCACCCCTGCTCCCAGAAGCCCTCAGTCAGAGCAAGAAGCAGCCAGGTAAGTTGCAGAGCTCCCCCCGGTCCCCCAGCCCAAAACAGTCCAGTGGCACCTTTAAGACCAAGTTTTATTCAGGTACAAGCTCTCCCTCCTCTGCCAGGACAGATCTGCACGTTCCCCCCCCCAATAGCTAGCAATCCAAACACGTCCAGTGGAGCCTGAGCGGTGGGGGTTGCCTTCTGACACACTTCCAGTGATGTCAGGGTGTGTGGCATATGCAAATAAGTTACGCGAATGAGTTATGCTAATGAGCTCCTGCACCTCTTTTTCTACGAAATGACCCCTGCCCAACACAGATTGTTTTACAGCACAGGATATATATCACCTCATCCTTATTCATTCATTTTCAAACGTCTATCTTGTCTTTCATGGAAACTGGTCCCCAAGTTGGACCCCCAAGTCAGGATGCCACACCAAAGGGTACAAGTATGCCAACCATTACTAGCCCATGACATGTGCCGGGGCTTTCCTTCCCACTGGTGACATGTGCGATACAAATGAGGGTGTATCCAGTTTGCAGGCTCAGTACCACGCCACATGCCAATGACAGACAATTCTATCTACCTAGCACATTTTTATCTCACCCACCCCACTCTAAGGAGCTCAGGGTAACATATGTGGCTCTCCTTCCCCCTTTTTTGTTTTTGTATACTTTATTTTTGCAAGCCTCATGCACAAACAGGGATTTGAACCCAAGTCTCTTGGATTGTAATCTAGTGCTCTAACCCTTACGAAACAGTAGAAAAGAGCAAGAGTCCAGTAGCACCTTAAAGACTAGCAAAATTTTCAGCAGGGTAGGAGCTTCTGTGAGCCACTGCTCGCTTCTTCAGAGACCTTGTGAAACACCGCCTGTCACTTCTGATACATGTTTTGAAAAATGCGAGTTTCCTAGCAGTTATTACCCCACAGGAAGCAAGACAGCCATCTCCACATGCAGGAGCAGTCTACCTCTAGATACCATACACTGGGGGCAAATGAAGGGGGGAGGCTGTCTCCTTCACTGGCCCATATAGGCTGGGAACAGGACACTGAACCAGACGGACCCCAAGCCTCCCGTCCAGTGGGGCCCTTTTCTTTTACACCAAAATGGAGAGCCAGTGTAGTGCAGGGGTTAAGAATGTGGGGCTAAATATTGACTGTTTGTACATATCTGTTTTACAGCTACCACCCTGTGTGCCTAATTTATCTTGTATTTGTTATTTTATGATTCTGGAGAGATCTTGCTGTCCCCTATATGCAACTATTACTGTATTTTATTGTATTTTTTGGTTTTATCTGTTGGGAAAAAAATTGTTAATAAAAATACATTTAAAAAAAAGAGTGTGGTGCTAGTATCTGGGAGACCCAGGTTTGAATCTTCATTTGTGCCACGGAAGATCGCCTTGGGGCTAGTCACACAGTCTCAGTCTGGCCTACCTCACAGGGTTGTTGTGTGGATAAAATGCAGAGACGAGGATGTAAGCTGCTTTGATTTCCCATTGGGGGAGAAAAGCTGGATAGAAAGGAATTAGGCTGCAATCACACACACACAATAATGCACTTTCAATGCACTTTCCAAGTGGATTTTGCCAGTTCACACAGTAACATCCGGTTGGAGAGTGCACTGAAAGTGCATTATTGTGTGTGTGCGCGATTGCAGCCTTAAATAAATAAAGTAAATAAAATAATATCCATTGATCCAGGACTTCCTGAGGGCTAGCCGCTTTTCAGCAAAGGGGAAGGGGGGGGGGGATGATGACCTATTGATGCCCTCCCTAAGCGGCTCCTCCCCACCCCTCCCCACCCCGAGCCCCACGGACTCACTATGGCAATGGAATAGGGCTTCGGGCCCTTCACCTCCCGCCTCAACCGGTGGTTCCCCTCGCTCAGCATCTTCGCTCGCCCGCCTCCCTGCAGCTCCGCAGCCTCTGCTTCTTCCGGGACGCGCTGCCCGTCGCCGTGGTAACCGGGCAGCGTAGGGGGCGGGGCGGCGGGGTGACGCCAGCACGCCGGCAAGGTGTTTCTGTCGAGCGTCCCGCGGAGTTCCCACGCTCTTTCCAGCGCTCGCGGGCAAGTCCGGCGGCGCATGCGCTTTCGCTGACACGGGACTGGGAATTGTGTGCAGGAATAAAGGGGTGGGTGAATGGCGTTGAGGGGGGAGTCAAGTGTGAGTCCAGCGGCGCCTTTAAGACTAACAGTTTGATTCTGGGTATAAGATATATATGCTCATTTGCTGACATTCCCAGGTGCTAACAGCAGCTTTAATCCAGTCTCAGCTATACTTATCGCCCAGTTACTTATGCATCTTGACTCTAACTAGCCCTTCCTGGAAACTAACACCCCCTCATATGTAAGGCTTGAGGAAAACTGTTTCTCTGTGCATGCACATGAAAGCTTATACCCAGAGTTGGTCTTAAACATGCCACTGGACTCCAACTTTGTTCTATTGGTTCAGACCTAGAGATGTAAAAATTTCTGGAAATGTTGAAGCTCGGGGAAAAAACCCAGTTTTTCCCGAAAAAAACAATTTTTTTGAAACATTGAAAAAAAATGCTACATTAGCACTTCTTTTTTGTTTTCCAGACTGAAAGTCATTCTGTTACTTTAGGAACATAAACTATGACTATGGACAATTTTACTTTGCATGAAATGATCACAACTGGCATATTAAAAATATAGTGTATCCAAACAGTTATTACACACAGAATTTACTTTCTAAATATTTATTTGTAATTGTAACAAATGGAGCAGCACTCTCCTGAACTGTTTACTAGTTTAAGTGGAACAGACAAAATAAACCTCCACAAAACAATTTTTAAAAATCCAGAAGTAGCAATTATTCATATTTCCTCTCCACAGTATTAAATAAAAATAAAAAACCCATTCTCATAAAAAGAATTGAAGAGAGGGGGAAGTGTATAGAAGGGATTTGGAAGGGATTTAGAAATGATTTGGAAACTATTTGAACACCTTGTCTTAAAATATTTTATTCATCATGTTAAAACAAAACATACCATAATCATTTTTTTCCCTTTTTTCAATCTTTCCAATTTTTTTTGAAAAAAACAAAAAAGGCTTCAGGAAAAAAACGGGGGGAAAAACCACAGGTTTTTCCCAAATGTTTCCTGGGCCTTCACATCTCTATAGGGCTACCCACCTGTAGCAAATCTACTGACAGGGCTACCCACGTGAATGTGTCTTAAAGGAGGAGGGAATAAGTAGAGGGGTGTGTATGTTCGCCTTAATAATTCTAACCCCCAAGTGGTTTGTGTAAGTTTGATGTTCCGGAAGAATATAATTTTTCCAATAGTAGACCATGACAGAAGTACATAAGATTTAAGAGGGGCTGAAAATGATTGTGGGTCAACATTTAGGTGCAGTTTCTTATCAAGAAACATAATACATCTTTTTTTGGGTATTTTATCCTCCTGTGTTCAAATAATTTTAAAATATTAGAAGATCCCCATCCTTGGAGAGAGGCAGGAAAATGTTTAATGCCCTATCTCAAAAATGTAATAAAACAGTATAAGTGGGTTCTCTGTTATTGTATGAATCGTTACTGACACCTAGTGGTTTTCTGGTTAGGTTACAGTTCTGTATTTGTTCAGAATTACACAGGCCCAGTGCAAAACTAACTTTCATTGTGGAAGAAGGATTATATAAAACTGATACCCAGGGCTGATGTTAGGCGTTGAAATATTTTTCAGTTGCCTGAGGTGGTGGCTACAAGGATGGACAGCTTCAAGAGGGAATAAGATAAGCCTATGGAGCAGAAGTCTCTCAGGCTGGGGCAGGTGATGCTATGTATTCTTGGTGCTGGGGGGGCAACAGTGGGAGGGCTTCTAGTGTCCCTGGCCTCCTCCCAGCTCCACTGAGTGCCCCAGAGTTCCTAAAGGCCAACAGCGCTCCTTGCGCCTCGTCTCCCAGCAGCCTTGCCACTGGGAGACAAGGCGCAAGGAGTGGTTTTGCCTTCAGAAGGGCCGGGGAGGTGCTCCTTAAAGACACACGGCCGGCGGCGCCCCACCCACAGCTGGCGGGTTCACCCGCAAAAGCTTCCCCGGCCTCCTCCCAGCTCCACCGAGCAGAGTTACTCCAGTTTGGAGCAGGAGTTAGTCTTTGAACGAAAGGTGTGGGAAAATGGGGAATAGAACAGAGGAGAAGTGAAATCAGTTGGGTGTCCTGTCTTCCAGACATGAAGGCCTAAAGAGCACAGAGAAACAAAGTGTAGGGTCTCTAAACCCCAGTTGGTAGCTGGAGATCTCCTGGGATTACAACTGATCTTCAGACAACAGAGATCAGATCTCCTGGAGAAATTCACAGCAACAGGAGGTGGTGGCGGCGACAAGCATGGACGGCTTCAAGAGGGAATTAGAGAAACATGTGGAGCAGAGGTCCATCAGTGGCTATTAGCCACAAGGTATAGATGGGAACTCTCGGTCTGGGGCAGGTGATGCTCTGTCTTCTTGGTGCTTGGAGGGGGGCAACAGTGGGAGGGCTTCTAGTGTCCTGGCCCTACTGCTGGACCTCCTGATGGCCCCTGGTATTTCTGGCCACTGTGGGACACAGAGTGTTGGACTAGATGGACCATTGGCCTGATCCAACATTGGCTTCTCTTGTGTTCTTATGGCAGCTTTGGGTGGTCTCTCCATGGTTTGGATGGTGGTAAATCACAGCAAAACATGAGCAGCTTAAAGCAAGTTCAGTATACCAAAACTAGGACACAGGGGGGGGGGGGGGGGGGGGGGGCAAAGATTTCCTGTTCTGGTCAGTGAAGAAATCGAAAGATCTAGTGAGAGCCTCTGTACCAGTTCAGTTGGTAGCCAGGATCAGACTCCAGTTACTGGCTCTAATGCCAGGCTAGGCATATGTGTTGGGCCCATAGCATAAAATGGGTTCTTTTCAGGGAACAAAAGATTATAAAGAAACGCTTGAGCATAATTGCTGTCTGTCCTGTTGGCACTATCTCATCCCCCCCCCCCCCAAAGTCTTCTTGGAAGCATTTCTCCTGATTTCCTGTGGTTGTTGCCCCCAAACCCTCTGCTGTGTTCACCGCTGCAGGATTCTCTGAGAGACACAAAGCATGGAAGCTGCTCCCCATGTTCTGTGTATGCCTCTTGGGACTTGCTCATGGTGTTACATGGGACATACGTTCAGGCTGGGAGGGAGTGGTGTGCCAATGAAAGTGGGGGACTGGCAACGAGACTATGGGGTGGGGTGGGGAGAGCTTTTAGTTGCCAACTCTGTGCTGGGAAATTCCTGGACATTTGGATGACAGAGCCTGGGGAGGGGAGGGACCTCAGCCGGGGATGCCATTTCCAGGCCTCTTTCCCCACCGCCACCAGCTGGCCAGCAGGGGGAAATCCCACCCCCAAACGCGATGTCATGACATCACACAGAAGGGATGCAATCACGTCCTGACATCACGTGGTGACACTCTGGTTTTTGGGCAAAACTCTGTGGTAACCATAGAGTTCTGCCCAAACTAACAGAGTGTCACTGATGTGATGCTAACAAAAGTGTTTTTGTTTTAATTCCAGTATCGTCTTTTCATGAAAGTTCATGCTGGAATTATTCATTTTGGGAGATAGTCTTTAAAGGGCCCCATTGACTCCAGTTTAGCTCAGAATAGGGCTTGAATCCTTAGAAAGGCTTACTTGGGAGCAATGTTCCCTCTAAGCTGTGGAGTCTTGTGAGCAATGTTCCCTCTAAGCTATGGAGCCCTGTGAGCAAGAATTCTATTTTGTGAGCTACTGGCATTAAAGTTGTGAGCAGGAGCTTTGGCTGCTGCATAAATTAGTTTGCTCTGGAGCCATCCCTTCCTGAGCTAAGACAAAAATCTGTGAGCCAGAGGCTAAAAAACTGTGAGCTAGCTCACACTAACTCAGCTTAGAGGGAACACTGCTTGTGAGCAAAAATTCTACTTTGTGAGCTCCTGGCATTAAAGTAGTGAGCAGGTGATTTGGCTGCTGCATAAATTAGTTTGCTCTGGAGCCGTCCTTCCTGAGCCAAGACAAAAATGTGTGAGCCGGAGGCTAAAAGACTGTGAGCTGGCTCACACTAACTCAGCTTAGAGGGAACCCTGCTTGGGAGTAAGATGTACTGAAAGTGGCTCTCATTCCTGAATAAACAGACCTAAAGTAATAATCAGCCTTGAGCCTTTATAGTGTAGAAGGAGGGTTGCCAAATGATCAGGAAAAGCCTGAGTTGCCAGTCTGGTGTAGTGGTTAAGAGCGGCAGGACTCTAATCTGGAGAATCAACTTTGATCCCCCACTCCTCCACATGAAGCCAGTTGGGTGACCTTGGGCCAGTCACAGCTCTCTCAGAGCTCTGAGACCCTGTTTGGTGTAGTGGTTAAGAGTGCAGGCTCTAATCTCGGAGAACCAGGTTTGATTCCCCATGCCGCCACATGCAGCTGCTGGTGTGACCTTGGGTCAGTCACAAGTTCTCTCAGAGCTGTTCTCTCAAGAGCAGTCCTCAAAAGAGCTCTCTCAGCCCCACCTACCTCCCAAGGTGTCTGTTGTGGGGAGGGGAAGGGAAAGGAGGTTGTAAGCCGCTCTGAGACTCCTTTGGATAGTGAAGGTGTCAAACTCACTGTTCATTTTGCCATGGTAACTGAGAAGGGGATGGTGAAGGCATGCAGAAGCCAAAACACTTCCACTTCCGAGGCCTCTGATGTACTAAACACCTTATTGGGCCTGGGAAGTTTTAGTGGCCTTGAGTCTCATCTTTCTATGCTGGCTTTTATCTCACATGTTGGGGGGATGGCACTAAGAGGGGGATGGCTGGCAGTTACATTTGTCGGGCAAAATCCCATGGGGTGATTGGTTCTTAACCTTTTGGGGCCCTTTCTTGAATCCTGTATATCTATTGCTTTTGCGCCTTTAAGCTCAGTTCTAACACAGCCAATGTACAGGCTGGATCCTATCACTGTCTCAATAAACTTGTCCTTCCTTGAAGTGAATGTTGTTGGGAACTGATCTACCCAGAGATCTGACAGAAGGGCGGGGTATAAATCCAGTCTCTTCTTCTTCTCTCAGCCCCACCTACCTCACAGGGTGTCTGTTTTGGGGAGAGGAAGGGGAAAGGA